AAGACTCGAGTTTGTGGAGCAGCGGGACGTGTGGGACCCTATCAAATGCTTTTGAGAAGTCGAAAAATATGGCATCCGATGTGAGTCCTTCGTCCCTGGCTTGAGTTAAGCTGTCCATAAACACGAGCATGTTTGTTACGCAAGATTGGTTTAGGAGAAGTAAAGAGCAACCCGACCAGACCTCCATCGTTTTGAGTCAGCTCGAAAAATAGAGTAACCGCCTATCGAGATCTCCGCGTCAGAGTCATCTGGTGTGAGTCAGGTCTCTGTGAGCGCGATTATGGACGGTTGTTCAAGGCAAGCTGACTGTTTAACATCGCCGAGTTTGTTGAAAAGGCTGAGGCAGTTTGTGTACAAGCATTTCAACACTGCCTCGGCTTCCTCCGAGGGTGAGGAGCAGAAAGTTAAGTGACCAGGGTGGTTGGCAGACTTAATAGTTGTGCATCAGGTTTGAGTTTGAGTCCAAGTCTCCAAGGGGGCTTCTGGGGCGATGTCTGTTTCCGGCCATTGTGGTTTCTGGAGGTGCTGTTCGCCTGCGGGGTCTTTTTCGTTCCGTGAGAGCTCGGGTTGCTCGGGTTTTTTGGCTCTGGTGGACGGAGTTTTTTCCCCATGGGCGAACATTTCGACCGATGCTGTTTGTAGATCTTTCAGCATCCCTTTTTCGGCGACCCCATTTGCTGTTGATCATAGGTTTGCTGCAAGCATTCGCCTTCCTGGATTATTGGGTGTTTTGGCGTGGTTTGGCCGGAAAAGTGTCTCTGTGGGGCCCTGGGTGCTGGGTGTCGGCTCCAAGAAGTAATGATTTTGGTGGCCCTCCCAAGAGGCTCGTTTTCGCGTAGGAGTGCACCTTGAAGCCAGTCAGCAGTTTTCTAATCTGGCGAGTTTTGTGTGGCTTTTTTGGCTGCAGTCGCTCTTCTTTCGTGTTTGTGTGGACATCCGATCCGCCAGCGATCAGCGTGACCAACTGGATGTACGAGGGATTTTCCGGATGGCTGTAGTCATGTTTATGGCTTTGGCTGTCGGGGTCCTGGGCGACGGTTGTGTGCACAAGCAGAGAGGCCGCTTTTGACGCAGTGGAGTTAGAGACTGGCTTCGCTGCTTGTCCCCGCACATCTGACTCCGTCCAGTTCATAGGCTGTGGCCTTGGTGTGTGGCGTTTTGTGCAGCGCTCGTTTACTAAGTTCCTGTTTCCGGTGTCATCCACACTACTTTATCGTCTTCGCTGCTTATCACTTGGGCTGGATCCATTATGGCTAATGCGCATCAGGTTGAATCTAAGTTCCTGCATCGCTCAGTCTACCGGGGGGCTTACATAGCTGACGGCGGCCCTGAATTTTCTTCC